ACTGTATTCGTGTTTATATAAGAGGAAGTTTTTACAATAATCTTAAGATATAAAACCATCAATTGACAACATGTTCTCTTGAAGCCAATGTTAGTGGAGTTATACAGATATAATATTCTGGACATAATCCATATAAGTACCTGGTCTTAATTGCCAGAGTCAGATAAAAAATTACCACTACGTTATATTGCAAAGTGATTTAGTTGAAATTTCGGGCGTTGTGACTGTATCTTAGTGTTTAGAAAATGTATTTCCGCATGTTAAAGGTACCCATACAGATTTATTCAGTATCATTATTGTTTCTGTCTCATATCGAAGTCCTTATGTCTAAGGGGTAGTTCAGAGGCCAAGGCTCAATTTTGGAAATGGTTCAAAATGAAGTTTTCATAGCCTGCCGTAAATAAGTCTATTCAGGTATACACAAATACAATTACATAGATTATCATACATAGCAGCATATGTGTAGAGAACCTGGGATAACCCAAAAAAGTCAAAGTGGCGTCCTTTATGTGAAGCGTCTTATATCTTGTTGATCCCTGAGTTTCATGATCCCGTTTCAGAATTGATGGTATAGATTAATATAGTATAATAGGTTTTTTAAAATGATTTTCATAGGCTTTGAATGTAATTCCACGCATTTTCTTGATTTATAGAATTGCATTCAATCCTGGAAGCATCCTCCCACTTTTTTTTTTTTGTAGGAGTGGACCGCCATCACCAGGTCCACGGTGCACCGTGGACCTGGTGTCAAAGCTCTCGCTATGACGGGTTCGACTCCCGTCAAGAGTGGAAATATTGGGAGTGTTTCCTTGCACCTGCTGTCCATGTTCCACCCATCAGTAAAAATGGGTACCTGGGTGTTAGTCGACTGGTGTGGGTCGCATCCCGGGACAAAATTGATCTAATTTGCGGGAAATGCTTAGCAAAACAAGGGGCTCTCTATATAGTGGTATGTCACTGATGTCAGCTATGGTCTGTATACCTTGTACATGTCCATGGCCGAGTGTCCCTCTGTAGTGTAAGAAAGAACTTTGTTCACTCTTGTCTTGGTATCCACCACTTCCATCCAGTATTCCTTTCCCCACGCTTGACCTATAGTGAACTGCTAAGCGTCAAGCACCAAGATCATACCATACAATGCCTTGTTGCTGGGTCTAAACCCAGTTCTTTTGAGTATGAATGGTAGACAATACCGACAAGATGAAGAAATAGACACATGTCAAACATTTGAGTATCTTTACTTCTAGACGTTTCGCTATTCATTGGCTTTTGTATATAGTTCTAGTCTTGCCATTATGTCCTTGAATTTGTATTGATAAAGCCACTGGATGGAGAAACGTCTACAATAAAGATACCCAGATGTTGCACATGTGCCTAATTCTTCACCCAGTTCTTTTCCTTTCCTCTCTAATCCTTCCTCTTCCCTTCCCCCACTATTCACTCCCTATCCTCACTTCCTACTCAACCTTCACAAGATCCTTACCTGAGAATAAGCATAGTCTTGTCTAGGAAGGCAAAAAAGAGTTAATACCAATTTTTCTTCTTAGTTTTTCTTTGATACGCGTATTTTTTACTGACATCTAATAATATATGCCTTGGCTGCACACAGTTATCAGGAAATGTGAATTATCTGAGGATCAGTGATGCTGTTAACTGATTTCCTGTTATGGCTGAAAGAAATTCCCATCTAAATAAAAAAAATTCTTTTTACTTTATTTTCCAACAAAAGAAGTGATCATCCTAAATATAAAACTCGAATAAAAGTCCCTGGGAAATAAATACCTTATTTGGGTTTTATGTGCGTTTTATACAATGTTAACTTCTTTTCTTACTAACACCCGCGTCAGGAAACACTTGTCCTGTTTCCTGACAAATCTTACCTAATCTCACCTCTTCTTAGAAGAAAGAGGAGGCAGAGAAACTATTTTTTCTAAGGTATGTGGAGTAATTAATTACTTTATTTAATAACACTGGAGTAGAGGTGAGAGTGAGACCTGAGTCAGGACTCTGTGCTGACGAATATTAAAAAAATCTTTAGCTTATTCTTATCAAACTGAAATTATCGTTACAGGGGATAATTAGTTCTATCTCCAGGGTCTCTTAGAGACTCTTGATTTCTTCACATTATAGCTTCTCTGATTTGTGAAAACTGTTCACAATGAAAAGGTTAATTTTCAACTGTTGGGCTCTTCAGGGCGTTGAGATAGATCTGTACCGGGACTCTTGATCATATTTTAACAATGCTTTACCTAAATATTCTCAGTTTTTTAGTATCTGACTAGGATGACTTCCAGCTCCCTGGAGTTTTGAGGATGTCGCGTTACAGCTCCTGGGCTCCTTTCGGACTCTTAAGGATCTTTTAATACTACTTCATCCAGATCTTAAATTTAGACTGTGTTTCACAGAGTTGAGTTCCAGCTCCTGGGCGTCTTGAGTGTTGAGGTGCAGGAATACATATTAGTTATTACTGGAATCGTGGGAAACCTTTCTAGTATCACACACCGACTGAAACACATCTTATAAATGTACTAAAAACTGGTCCTTAACAAGTGTAACAATCCACAAGCAGTTGTAGGACCCGAGCTTGTGGCTTGTTGTATGCCTACCCAACGTTCAAGGTACTGGAACATAGATGGTCATAAATGATACACTAGTAAATTCTAATTCCTGGACAAGTAATAACCATAAACTGGGACTCGTTCATGACTGTTTAAGAATATTACGTGACTCCGCCAACAGGCAGTGACGACATATATGAGTCTTGTACTTTCTAAGCTACTTGCCAATGCTGCTGAAAATTCGTAATGGGCATACAAAAAATTTCAGAGTACACTGCCAATTGTCTTGCAAAGGGCAACAGTAACTATATGAGCAAAACTTGCAATAAGATTTTGCATTGGACAATGCGAGGTACAATCTCAGAATGAATATTACATCAGTCTGTCTCTTTCCCTTTAGTTACTACTATAGTCAGCCTGACAGTCGTTTATACTGTAAATTTTCTTCTTCCCCAGACATTGGTAGCGGTGGCCATGTGCCTGATGCTAGGAGTGGCCTTGGCCCTACCTGTCCCTGTGGCCCTGCCTGCCCCTGAGGCTCAACCTGATGCACTAGCTAACCTTAATTTCCTCCGTGGTTATGGACGCGGGCCTGGTATTAACCCAGGTTTCAACATGGTCTTCAGACTCTTCAGTGGTGGACAAGGTTTTCGTCCTTACAGGCGCCGCCACCATCGCCGTGGATTCTATGGTTAATGTCACCTAGAACGAACTCTGTCAAGCTTCTCACTTATCTACTGTATACAGAGGTTGTGACGTCAGTGTCTGTGCACACATGTATGAACGTTTAAGTCATGACTCAAGTTTTAAGTGATGATTATCAACATCATAACAAAAAACACCCAGTTCCTGTTATCAGCAATAAAATTTATATCTATTCTTTATTACTTTCGTTCACCATAAATCAATAAAAATATTCCATACTAAAACTACGTGTGTTGTTTAAGTCCTCGTTACAGTAGTTATGCCGCCCCCTCGGCAGACCAAGCCTTCCTATTCATCTAAATATATGTGTGCAAACACCTGAAAACGCTCAGGTTTTATTTCCTGTTTTCACTGTGGTATTTATATACAAGTATACATACACACATGTATGGATATAAATACCCATGCATACATACACAAGCACATGCACGTCCATATATTCTGGTGTACAAGAAACTCATGACCGCTTTGTAACAGTCTGGTGTGAGTATTGAGGTACAGGTGCTGGTGTTAAGGGATACCGGGAATACATTTCTTGGATTTTACTGTTACCGATGCAAATTTAGTTCAGTATATCTACCTGATATAGAGTTCAGTATATCTACCTGATATAGAGTTCAGTATATCTACCTGATATAGAGTTCAGTATATCTACCTGATATAGAGTTATTGTTGTTTTATTCGTCAGGAAACAAGACAAGGGAAGATTTCTTCCAATATCTTCAATATTCTAAATATTTTTCTCAGTCGTCTCTTTAATAATTTGGGATCAACTGTTCCATTGCAATTAACTCTGGTATTCATTATATATAATATTATTAAATGTGCTGTTTAATGGGGGTAATTACAATCTGTATATATTGAAGAAAAGCCTAAGATAATTAACTCAGTCTAACCTACCCTAGAGGTTAGGTTAGCTAAGATTTGTCAGGAAACAGGACAAGTGTTTCCTGACGTGGGTCTTGGTTATATGATGACCCATCAATGGAGCTTTTTGTCATCTGACCGAGGCCTTCCACTGGCTTACCAGTCCACCACTGGGAATATTAATATCTATCTCTGTATTTATCGCTACAGTACTCGTTGAACATTTATCGCTACAGTACTCGTTGAACACTTATCGCTACAGTACTCGTTGAACATTTATCGCTACAGTACTCGCTGAACATTTATCGCTACAGTACTCGCTGAACATTTATCGCTACAGTACTCGCTGAACATTTATCGCTACAGTACTCGTTGAACATCCTACAGTACTCGTGAACAATTATCTAAATACTCGCTGAACATTTATCGCACAGTACTCGCTGAACATTTATCGCTACAGTACTCGTTGAACATTTATCGTACAGTACCGTGAACATTTACGCTACAGTATCGCTGAACATTTAATCGCTACAGTACTCGCTGAACATCAACTGACCCTCAGTGACGAGTTGCGCTGTAATAATCGTTCCAGTCAGTGGAAAAAAACGTGTGACATCAATGTTCTTTTTATTTGTTAAAGTCCGGCAGCTCCTCACTGTCGATCATACAACTTAAACTGCTGCGTTCGACACTTATAACTAAAAAATTATATTGTTTGATAAAGATGACACAGTAATAGATGGTTATAAATGCGTAGTTACATGAAAATCCATGAAACACGCACTACACAGAATGTAAAGTGCTTCGAAGAATGAAAATACGTGCATAAATAGGATCCAAAAACTTCGAGGAGTGTAGCAACCCAGGAGGATCCAGCGGGCAGCAGCAGCCATGACAGGTTCAAGGACCCCATCGTTTCCTACTCCTCCACCACCGGTTTGCACAGTATATAAGACTGGTTGAGTACCATGGTGTGCCTGAGAGACCAATCAACAGTGACTGCGCCAACACCACCAACATGAAAGTGGTAAGTTCTACTCTCGCAAAACTTTTCTGAAAAGATTCAGAATTATACTGAACACAGAACTGCTATATGTATTCGCAATATACTTATTGTATAAAGCTGGCAGCATAGTATAAGGCAGCAAGTAGCGTTATTTGCGTGGTATCTCAGGAAGCCTAGCATTGTCATGAACTACCGAGAGAGGTGAGTCGCTGTGTTCCATCTGTATAATGGTACAAACAACCGACTCGTTCAGGAATTCATGCTACACCTGCGTGTCTATATTTGAAGAAGTTGGCGAAACATGTTCAAAATATAGATACCCGGGTGTTGCATGTGTCTAATACCTCGGTATGTATATTTAAACTTAATGGCTTCCAAAATGTGCTTATAGTGACAGTCCTCAATTAGGTTAAAACTCGTCGATATTAGGGTTGTATGATACCTGTACACAACCAGTCTTTTATAATTCAATCCTTGTCAGGAAACAAATATTTCCTGATCTGAGTCTTAGTCACATGATAATCCACAGCTGAAGCTTTTGGTCATCTGACCGAAGCCTTCTGCTGGCTTACCGTCCCACCCTTTCAAAAATTATGGTCATAGTTATAACCATTTCGTAACAATGTATATTCATTATTATTGCATCATATAAGTTCTAATGTGCTGATTTTATTAAACAAATTGGTTTATATGCAGTAATTACAACGACTATTTTGATCGACTTCAAATCCATAACACTGATTTGTTAAATTATATAAACCCAAACGGGCTACAAACTATCATGACAAATAATAATTAAAAAAATTCGTATATCTTCATTCGATAATTTTTCTTCTATAATCTTGGACTCAGAATAAGAAAATTTCTTAATTTCAATGAAAACTGTTATATTTCCATATGATAAGTTGAGGCTACAGTTGCTAAACAAATTCAGTTTTGTTTGGGATTGTTTACATATCAATTCCCATTTTTGTTGACGGAATTTGAATATCAGCATCCTGGTGATGTTTCTTGAATGTCTCTTCAGATCGGCTTCAAATCGTCATTAGTAACATTTAATTTCATAAAAATCGTAAAATATTATTTTCGATTAAATACGTTATTTGTAAAAACAATAGTAAAATGGCAGCAAGTACGTCTATTGCGTTATATAACTCAGGAGCTAGTCTATGCTGTCATAATACTACATGAGGAGTGTGGAGTGGCTGTGTTAACAAATACTAAATAAAATAGGTTAAACACAAACTAACCGTTCTAGGAAGGGTATGCTAGTGGCTTTAACTGCGTGGACATATTCTGAGGATGAAGTTAGGCGAATACATAGTTCAAAGTATAGATAGTGTGTTGATGTGTAACATAATACATACCAGAGTGATGCTAGTCATGTTTAAACTAACTCTAGGAGTGGTTGCTAGTGGCGTGTTAATACAAACATTCTAAGGAGTAGTGCCTAATGTGGTTAAAACTACAGTTTAGGAGTGTAGTGCAGTGGCTGTGTTACACAACTAACATTCTAGAGTGGTGTCAAGTGCTTGTGTTAAACAAATAAGTTCTAGGAGTGAGTATGCTAGTCTACATGGTAATGAAACTCAACAGTTTCTAGGTGGTAATCTTAATGGTTGGTTTACATACTAACAGTTCTGAGAGTGGTAGTGCTAGGTGTTAATACTACAGTTCTAGGATGGTAGTGCTAGTGGTTGGTTAATACTTATAACAGTTCTCAGGGGTAGTGCATGTGTGTAATACTAAGTTCAGAGTGGTATGCTAGGGTGTGATTAATACTAACAGTTCTAGGATGTAGTCTAGGTTGTGTTAATACTAACAGATTCGAGGTTGTAGTGCATGCTGTATTAAACTAACAGTTCTAGGAGTGGTAGTCTAGGTGTTTAACACAATACAACAGTCTAGAGTGGTAGGTAGTGGCTTAAATTATACTAAATTCATAGAGTGGTAGTGCAAGTGATGTGTAACACAATACAACAGTTCAGGAGTGGTAGTGCAGTAGGTTGTGTTACTATCTAATAACATTCTAGATGGTATGCAGAGTTTGTTAACACAATACTAACTTTCTAGATGGAAGTGCTATAGTTGTCCTAATACTAAAGTTCAGGAGTGGCTAGTGCTAGTGTTGGTTAAACAAATTAACAGTTCTAGAGTGTATGCAGTGGCTGTGTTAATCACACTCAACAGTTCCCATAGATGGTATGTAGTGTTGTTTAACACAATACAACAGTCTAGAGTGGTTTGCTAGTGCTGTGTTAATACTAACAGTTCTAGGTCGGTTAGTCGCATTAGTGGCTTTGTTTAATACTAAACAGTTAGAGTGGTTAGTGCTTAGTTAGTGTGTAAACATACTAACGTTTTCGTAGAAGTGGAATTGTCAGAAAATGATGCGTAATACTAACGTTCTAGGAGTGGTATGCTAGTGGTTGGTTAAAAATACTAACATCAAGTGGTATCTAGTGGCTGTGTTAATACTAACAGTTCTTAGAGTGGTAGTGCTAGTGTTGTGTTAACAAACAATATAACAGTTCATGACTGTATGCCTAGTTTGTTTAATATGCTAACAGTTTAGGAGTGGTAGTGCTAGTGTGTGTTAACACAATCTAACATTCTGAGGAGTGATTAAGCTAGTGGTTTGTTAAGCAATCTAATGTTCAGGAGTGTAGTGTAAGTGTTGTTTAACACAATACAACATATCATAGAAGTGGTAGTGCTAGTGGCTGTGTTAATACTAACAGTTCTAGGAGTGGTAGTGCTAGTGGCTGTTTTAAAAATACTAACAGTTCTAGGAGTGGTAGTGCTAGTGGCTGTGTTAACACAATACTAACAGTTCTAGGAGTGGTAGTGCTAGTGGCTGTGTTAATACTAACAGTTCTAGGAGTGGTAGTGCTAGTGGCTGTGTTAAACTACTAACAGTTCTAGGAGTGGTAGTGCTAGTGGCTGTGTTAATACTAACAGTTCTAGGAGTGGTAGTGCTAGTGGCTGTGTTAATACTAACAGTTCTAGGAGTGGTAGTGCTAGTGGCTGTGTTAATACTAACAGTTCGAGGAGTGGTAGTGCTAGTGGTTGTGTTAACACAATACTAACAGTTCTAGGAGTGGTAGTGCTAGTGGCTGTGTTAATACTAACAGTTCGAGGAGTGGTAGTGCTAGTGGTTGTGTTAACACAATACTAACAGTTCTAGGAGTGGTAGTGCTAGTGGCTGTGTTAATACTAACAGTTCGAGGAGTGGTAGTGCTAGTGGCTGTGTTAATACTAACAGTTCGAGGAGTGGTAGTGCTAGTGGTTGTGTTAACACAATACTAACAGTTCTAGGAGTGGTAGTGCTAGTGGCTGTGTTAACACAATACTAACAGTTCGAGGAGTGGTAGTGCTAGTGGCTGTGTTAATACTAACAGTTCGAGGAGTGGTAGTGCTAGTGGTTGTGTTAACACAATACTAACAGTTCTAGGAGTGGTAGTGCTAGTGGCTGTGTTAATACTAACAGTTCTAGGAGTGGTAGTGCTAGTGGTTGTGTTAACACAATACTAACAGTTCTAGGAGTGGTAGTGCTAGTGGCTGTGTTAATACTAACAGTTCTAGGAGTGGTAGTGCTAGTGGTTGTGTTAACACAATACTAACAGTTCTAGGAGTGGTAGTGCTAGTGGCTGTGTTAATACTAACAGTTCTAGGAGTGGTAGTGCTAGTGGTTGTGTTAACACAATACTAACAGTTCTAGGAGTGGTAGTGCTAGTGGCTTTGTTTGGTATTAGTTGTTAATACTAACAGTTCTAGGAGTGGTAGTGCTAGTGGTTGTGTTAACACAATACTAACAGTTCTAGGAGTGGTAGTGCTAGTGGCTGTGTTAATACTAACAGTTCGAGGAGTGGTAGTGCTAGTGGTTGTGTTAACAAATACTAACAGTTCTAGGAGTGGTAGTGCTAGTGGCTGTGTTAATACTAACAGTTCTAGGAGGTTTTAGTGCTAGTGGTTGTGTTAACACAATACTAACAGTTCTAGGAGTGGTAGTGCTAGTGGCTGTGTTAATACTAACAGTTCTAGGAGTGGTAGTGCTAGTGGCTGTGTTTAATACTAAACAGTTCGAGGAGTGGTAGTGCTAGTGGCTGTGTTAACACAATACTAACAGTTCTAGGAGTGGTAGTGCTAGTGGCTGTGTTAATACTAACAGTTCTAGGAGTGGTAGTGCTAGTGGCTGTGTTAATACTAACAGTTCTAGGAGTGGTAGTGCTAGTGGCTGTGTTGGGACAATAACAGTTCTAGTGGTAGTACTAGTGGTTGTGTTGGAATAACAGTTCTATGAGTGGTAGTGCTAGTGGCTGTGTTAATACTAACAGTTCTAGTGGTAGTGCTAGTGGTTGTGTTGGAATAACAGTTCTAGTAGTGTTAGTGCTAGTGGTTGTGTTGGCACAATAGCAGCAGTTCTAGCAGTGCTAGTGGTTGTGTTGGAACAATAACAGTTCTAGTACCAATAGTACTAGTAGCTGTGTTGGAACAACAATAGTTCTAGTAGCAGTATTACTAGCAGCTGTGTTGGAACAACAATAGTTCTAGTTGCAGTAGTACTAGTAGCTGTGTTGGAACAACAACAGTTCTAGTAGGAGTAGTACTAGTAGCTGTGTTGGAGCAACAATAGTTCTAGTAGCAGTAGTACTAGTAGCTGTGTTGGAACAACAATAGTTCTAGTAGCAGTAGTACTAGTAGCTGTGTTGGAACAACAATAGTTCTAGTTGCAGTAGTACTAGTAGCTGTGTTGGAACAACAACAGTTCTAGTAGCAGTAGTACTAGTAGCTGTGTTGGAGCAACAATAGTTCTAGTAGCAGTAGTACTAGTAGCTGTGTTGGAACAACAATAGTTCTAGTTGCAGTAGTACTAGTAGCTGTGTTGGAACAACAACAGTTCTAGTAGCAGTAGTACTAGTAGCCGTGTTGGAACAACAATAGTTCTAGTAGCATAGTACTAGTAGCTGTGTTGGAACAACAACAGCTCTAGTAGCAGTAGTACTAGTAGCTGTGTTGGAACAACAATAGTTCTAGTAGCAGTAGTACTAGTAGCTGTGTTGGAACAACAATAGTTCTAGTAGCAGTAGTACTAGTAGCTGTGTTGGAACAACAACAGCTCTAGTAGCAGTAGTACTAGTAGCTGTGTTGGAACAACAATAGTTCTAGTAGCAGTAGTACTAGTAGCTGTGTTGGAACAACAACAGTTCTTGTAAAGAACAGAAAGGCACAATACCGTGACTGGAACAATACACAACTAGCCCGAACACTTACGAAGTCACACTGACTTTGTTAGTGTGACATTGTAAATTGTCCAAGTCGGACCGAAACGTCGTCGTAAGCTCCTCTCTTTTATGTTTTGAACAGTTCTAATGATCGTACTGCTACCTGTTTTGTTAGCACAATAAGTTCTAGTGGTATTAATAGTGGTTGTCTTGAAACAATAACAGTTCTAGCAGTAGTAGTAGTGCTAGTGGATGTGTTAGCACAATAACATCAGTTCACTGCTAGTAGTCAATGTCTACTTCCTGCCTTCCTCTTACGTCGTTCCGCCGGTCATTATATTCCCTTCACTTACTTCTTCAAGTCGAGGATGCTTGCTGCTGCCGGAGTGAGAGAGTGACAGGTTATACTATGCTATTCCCATCTCAAATTTCTTAACAGAATTAAAGGCATCTAGAGTCTAGTTTTTCGTTACGAGTAATGTGCTGTCTGTCTTTCTCCCTGTACTCTGGTAGACTGTGTTAACTTCGTTTCCTTCTTCCGCAGATATTGTTAGCGTTGGCCCTGTGCCTGATGCTGGGGATGGCCCTGGCCCTGCCTATGGCTGTTTCAGACGCCGTAGCTGATGCTCATCACCGTCATGGTTACGGAGGTTATGGTGGCTTCGGAGGTGGAGGTTATGGTGGCTACGGAGGCATTGGTGGATTCGGTGGATATGGTGGAAACATCGGGTTTGGCAACGGGTTTGCTGGTGGATTTAACAGCGGATATGGAGGAGGCTTTGGTAGATATAGTCCATATAGCACCTACGGCTAATGTCTGTGACGGACGGAGGGGAATGTGGTCCAGTGCGCATGTGAAGTAACTTACCGAGAGATTCAGTGACGGGTAACTAACTTCTGTCGGCCGTCACATGTATTTATTTGCGTGTTTGGTTGTGTAGCAGAACTGTTACTCGTTAATAATTAAAATTTTTGTTGACAAATATTCAATAAATGTTTCATTGTTTATGTTTTTGGTTTCTTTAACCTTAGTTCCTTATTTGTGTTATATGACTGGTGAAATTCCTTCTACGCACAATGCACTGTAAAATCTAACTTGGTAAGAGGAACCTTGTTTAATGTGTCTCAGTGCTGTAAAACAATTGTTTGTGCTGACAATGATTTAAAGTACTATTAATCCATCACCTGAAAACATGACAGGAGGTGGAACATGAGAGAGGAAAACATGACAGGAGGTGGAACATGAGAGAGGAAAACATGACAGGAGGTGGAACATGAGAGAGGAAAACATGACAGGAGGTGGAGCATGAGAGAGGATAACATGACAGGAGGTGGAACATGAGAGAGGAAAACATGACAGGAGGTGGAACATGAGAGAGGAAAACACGAGGCTTCTTACTATGTGACGGGTGACTCAACAAGGGAGAAAAATGTCCCGTAGACAGCCAACTTGTAGTCAAAATGTGATAAATACTTTAGAAAACTGACAAATTGAAAATGAGACACTTTTGCAACATTTGGGAATGTTAATTCGTCACACAGTGGCTTCATCAGTCCAATGCAAAGAAGAACAGAAGAAAAAGATGAGGAATTTGAGGTAATCAGGCCCTCAGCCTGGAATCGATGTGTTCAGTCCATCCGTCTTGAAGACTGATGGCTGAGGGACTGATGACTCCAAACTCCTCCTCTTTTTCTACCGGTCTTCTTTGTATAGGACTGATGAAGCCACTGTGTGGCGAAACGTTTCCTCAATAAAGATTTCAAAATGTACAAATGACTCTTTCTTCAGCAAATAAAAACATCAACTTCCGTAAGATTGTGGATTATAACTAACCTTTCTTCCAGTTATGTTCTTACCCTCGTATTAAGATTGTGGATTATAACTAACATTTCTTCCAGTTATGTTCTTACTCTCGTCTTAAGATTGTGGATTATCACTAACCTTTCTTCCAGTTATGTTCTTACCCTCGTCTTAAGATTGTGGATTATTACTAACCTTTCTTCCAGTTATGTTCTTACTCTCGTCTTAAGATTGTGGATTATTACTAACCTTTCTTCCAGTTATGTTCTTACTCTCGTCTTAAGATTGTGGATTATCACTAACCTTTCTTCCAGTTATGTTCTTACCCTTGTCTTAAGATTGTGGATTATAACTAACCTTTCTTCCAGTTATGTTCTTACCCTCGTCTTAAGATTGTGGATTATAACTAACCTTTCTTCCAGTTATGTTCTTACCCTCGTCTTAAGATTGTGGATTATTACTAACCTTTCTTCCAGTTATGTTCTTACCCTCGTCTTAAGATTGTGGATTTTCACTAACCTTTCTTCCAGTTATGTTCTCACTCTCGTCTTAAGATTGTGGATTATCACTAACCTTTCTTCCAGTTATGTTCTTACCCTCGTCTTAAGATTGTGGATTATAACTAACCATTCTTCCAGTTATGTTCTTACCCTCGTATGTTGCCATCAGTGCCTTTCAACGACTCCAATGGAAATAAGTCACTTTGACTTTGGTGTTACCTAAGGTTTCTTCACATATTTGTCTATGAGATAATGTAAACTGTATTTGTGTATACCTGAATAAACTTACTTTGTTGTTTCTCTTACTATCTCCTGTACCTCCTAGGAAAAACTAAAGACTGGTAAGTCAGTGGAAGTCCTCGGTTAGATGACTAAAAGTTCCAGTACGAGTCTCGATTAAGATCCGCGGTACGGAACCATTACTCCTGTTTCTTGCGAATCTTACCTAATCTACCGCATACCTGTTATTATAATAAACATGGTTGTCGACAGATTAAGACCCTTCAGGCCTCGTCTGAGGACTCACAACAATCCTGTACTTCTGCTCTAAGTGGAACTGCAAAATAACTTTACTTTCGCTTCCTTCTAACCTTTCTCACATCCTGTTTATCACTGTCAAAGTTACCACATCGTCTACCTTCCTCTTATTTTCTTTACATTAAGGAATTGCTTATTCTTCTCTGAAATTGTATTAGGAAGTAAATAAAGTCTGCTACAAACAAGTTGGAGCCTTATCGTAATACGCAACACTGAAATTAAATAATTCCAGTAGCAAAGTCTCAATGTTAGTCCTACGGAACCATTTTAATATCTAATTTACTTGGAATCTCACCTAATTTCCAGCCTGCAATACCTTTTATTATTTAAAATGTGGTTTTTCGAAAAGATTAAGACCTGATGTCCAGTTCGTCCTGAGGTCAACCAAGTTGTGTTCCTGGCCTTATTGAGAAACCTGAAATAAACCTCTCTCACCCTCCTACTACCTTCTCCACTCCAGGTTTTCTGTCATATTACCACATGTCTCACCTCCCTTATTTCTTTACTTAAAATGCTTATTCTTTCTCTGAAATTGTATTAGGAAGTACAGAAATCTGCTACAAACAAAGTTGTGGCGACTTATCGTAATATCGCAACACTTAAATTTGGAAGCACTTGAATTACACAGAACAAAACTGTCTTGGCAATGTTTTGTCCTGCGTCGACTGGCGGATGTGTGGAATATGTAATTGAACTTGGGTTACTCTCCACCATCAGATGTCCAGCTGCAGATGATCTCTTGTATTGAGTGGCTTGCAACTGTGGCAACTGTTGCAGAAGTGAATATGAATGTTGCAGAGCTGGATGATCCTGTTCATCCATGTGCGACCAATGTTGTGTTCACTGTGATTATTTAGCAGTTGAAGATGACACTGATGAATACACACACACACACACACACACACACACACACACACACACACAGGGAGATTGACTGGGAAAACCTGGAGCCACATGGGGGTCCCGAAACATGGAGAGCCAGGATGTTGGACGTGGTGCTGGAAAACCTCATGCACCAACATGTTAAGGACACTACCAGAGTGAGAGGGGAGGATGAACCAGCAAGATTGGACCTTGTGTTCACCCTGGGCAGCTCAGACATTGAGGACATCAAGTATGAGAGTCCCCTAGGAGCTAGCGACCACGTGGTTCTGTGCTTTGAATAATATAGAAGCTGAAGTGGAGAGAATAACAGGAGTAGAATGGGAAAAACCTGACTATAAAAGAGGGGCTACATAGGGTAAAGAACTTCCGCGGGAGGTCCAGTGGGACAGAGAACGGGCAGGAAAGCCGTAAATGAAATGATGGAATATGTAGGCAACAAAATGCAAGGAGGCAGTGGAAAGGTTCATTCCCAAGGGCAACAGTAACAACGGGAAGACCAGAACAAGCCCCTGGTTCACCCGACGGTGTAAGGAGGCAAAACAAAGGGGCAATAGAAAATGGAAAAAGTACAGAAGGCAGAGAACACACGAAAATAGGGAGATCAGTCGCAGAGCCAGGAATGAGTACGCACAGGTAGGAGGGAGGCCCAGCGACAGTATGAAAATGACATAGCATAGGGAGAATCAAGACTGACCGAAACTGTTGTATAGCCACATCAGGAGGAAGACAACAGTCAAAGACCAGGTGATCAGATTAAGGACAGAAGGTGGAGAACTCACAAGAAATGATCAGGAGGTATGTGGGGAGCTGAAAGGAGATTCAAGGAAGTTTTTACAGTAGAGACAGGAAGGGCTGTGGGAAGACAGAACAGAAGGGAACATCAAGAGGGAATATACCAACAAGTGTTGGATGACATACGAACAACTGAGGAGGGGGTGAAGAAGCTCTTAAGTGACCTTGACACCTCAAAGGCGATGGGACCGGACATCTCCCCATGGGCCCTTTAAAGAAGGAGCAAGATGCTGTGTGTGCTTCTAACCACAATCTTCAACACATCCCTTGAAACTGGGCAACTACCTGAGAAATGGAAGACAGCTAATTAGTCCCCATATTTAAGAAAGGAACAGAAACGAGGCACTAAACTACAGACCTGTGTCTCTGACATGTATCGTGTGCAAGGTCATGGAGAAGATTATCAGGAGGAGAGTGGTCGAACACCTGGAAAGGAACAAGATTATAAATGAAACCAGCATGGGTTCATGGAAGGCAAATCTTGTATCACAAACCTCCTGGGTTTTATGACAAGGTAACAGAAGTAAGACACGAGAGAGAGGGTTGGGTAGATTGCGTTTTCCTAGACTGCAGGAAGGCCTTTGACACAGTTCCCCACAAGAGATTAGTGCAGAAGCTGGAGGATCAGGCACACGTAAAAGGAAGGGCACTGCAATGGATAAGGGAATACCTGACAGGGAGGCAGCAACGAGTCATGGTACGTGAGGAGGTATCACAGTGGGCGCCTGTTACGAGCGGGGTCCCACAGGGGTCAGTTCTAGGACCAGTGCTATTTTTGATATATGTGAACGACATGATGGAAGGAATAGACTCTGAAGTGTCCCTGTTCGCAGATGACGTGAAGCTGATGAGAAGAATTAAATCGGACGAGGATGAGGCAGGACTGCAAAGAGACCTGGAGAGGCTGGACATGTGGTCCAGTAACTGGCTTCTCGAATTCAATCCAGCCAAATGCAAAGTCATGAAGATTGGGGAGGGGCAAAGAAGACCGCAGACAGAGTATAGGCTAGGTGGACAAAGACTACAGACCTCACTCAGGGAGAAAGACCTTGGGGTGACCATAACACGAGCACATCACCGGAGGCACACATCAACCAAATAACCGCTGCAGCATACGGGCGCCTGGCAAACCTGAGAATAGCGTTCCGATACCTTAATAAGGAATCGTTCAAGACACTGTACACTGTGTATGTTAGGCCCATACTGGAGTATGCAGCACCAGGCTGGAACCCACACCTGGTCAAGCACGTCAAGAAGTTAGAGAAAGTACAAAGGTTTGCAACAAGGCTAGTCCCAGAGCTCAAGGGAATGTCGTACGAGGAAAGGTTAAGGGAAATCGGACTGACGACACTGGAGGACAGAAGGGTCAGGGGAGACATGATAACGACATACAAGATACTGCGGGGAATAGACAAGGTGGACAGAGATAGGATGTTCCAGAGAGGGGACACAGGGACAAGGGGTCACAACTGGAAGCTGAAGACTCAGACGAGTCACAGGGACGTTAGGAAGTATTTCTTCAGTCATAGAGTTGTCAGCAAGTGGAATAGCCTAGCAAGTGAAGTAGTGGAGGCAGGAACCATACATAGTTTTAAGAAGAGGTATGACAAAGCTCAGGAAGCAGAGAGAGAGAGGATCCAGCAGCGATCAGTGAAGAGGCGGGGCCAGGAGCTGAGTCTCGACCCCTGCAACCACAATTAGGTGAGTACAATTAGGTGAGTACACACACACACCCACACACACCCACACACACACACAGACACACAGACACACACACGCACACACGCACGCACGCACGCACGCACGCACGCACGCACGCACGCACACACACACACAGGCTTAGTGTCTAATCGACATGTGCCTAGGACAAAATGGTAACTAACTAACTAACACACACACACACACACACACACACACACACACACATACCTAAGAATAGTGCTCCGATACCTCAGTAAGGAATCGTTTAAGACTCTATATACAGTGTACGTCAGACCCGCATTAGAGTGTGCAGCACCAGTCTGGAACTCACACCTGATCAAGCATGTCAAGAAATTAGAGAAAGTGCAAAGGTTTGCAACAAGACTAGTCCCAGAGCTAAAGGGCATGTCCTATGAGGAGTGGTTAAGGGAAATCAACCTGACGACACTGGAGGACAGTAGGGATAGGGGGGACATGATAACGACATATAAAATACTGAGAGGAATTGACAAGGTGGATAGAGACATGATGTTTCAGAGATGGGACACAGAAACAAGGGGTCACCTATGAGGAGAGGTTAAGGGAACTCAACCTGATGACACCTGAAGACATGAGGGATAGGGGAAACATGATAACGACCTACAAAATTCTGAGAGAAATTGACAAAGTGAACAGAAGTAAAATGTTTCAGAGATGGGACACAGGGAAAGGGCACAACTTGAAGTTGAAAACTCAGATGTTAGCAAGTACTTCTTTAGCCTCAGAGTTGTCAGGAAGTGGAACAACCTGGAGAGTGATGTAGTAGAGGCGGGATCCATACATGGCTTTAAGAAGAGGTACGATAAGGGTCTTGGAGCAGGAAGAGACTGGACCTAGTAGCGACCAGCAAAGACACGAGGCCAGGAGCTGTGACTCCACCCCTGCAACCACAAATAGGTGAGTAAACACACGCAGATATATATATTATAATATATATATATATATATATATATATATATATATATATATATATATATATATATATATATATATATATATATATATAGTTGTTATTGTCATCGGATTTAACTGAATAATTGTAGCAGACTTAGATTGGAATTTTCCAACCGTTAGAGAGGTGAGGAGTGGAACCAGGCAGGTTATACCACAGAACGGGGGAATCCCTCCAATATTCACAACGATCTGGTACTTGCCATCAGTGAGCTCGTCACTGATCCAGGTTTGCAAACAACGTATTAAGAAGGTCTACTACGATGAATACAACAACAGAACAACTAAACAATGGTCCGTGAGTGTGTTGTGTGACCGCCACTTGTTGGGTCCTAGCGGAAGATTCTGCTATTCCCGTGAATCGTATTATAATTTATTTGACATACTTGACATAAGAAGATATTATGAGGACCCCCAACTGAAATTAGTCACTTTGTCTAAGCTCTTTTTTTTGGGTTATCCTACATAGTTTAGACATGTATGACAATTATATTTACGTGTGTGTGTTGTGGTGTACCTGGTAATAAGCCAGGTAGACTAGGTCTACTAAATCTGCAGGAATTTTTGAGGCACAACTACTGCTCGTATAAACAAATATATTTAATAATTTTCAGTGCCATTTCTTTTATTATCAAATCTATGTTGACTATAACTTATTCTTTCATTCAGATATTTTAATGTATCTCATTAAAGGTATTCATTAATTTTCCTTAAATTGCTGACCAGCTCGTAAGGTATTTCAGGAACATCTTGTGTCTTCTTGCATAATAACTACTAAGCTGTTACCTTCTTAACTTTCCTTCTAATTATTTACTTATTAAACAAATCATTAGACAAGAGCCTGAGCTTGCTACCATCTGCAGCTCATAAGACTGCCATCCCCACGAGCCCATTTGAGGCGGGGTAGATGGCAGACCAGTGGCCTAGCTTCTCCCTACGAGCCCCGTGAGGGCGGGGAATGTGGCTAGGCCTGGGGACACTTGGTCCCAAAGATGAGGAGGTACTTGTACCTCCTCCCATGGGAGACTTACGTCTCGAGACATTCCCCAGATAGGGAGCCAAGGCCGGGTCACCACTACTTGGAAAAGACCCAGGCCGGGAGAATACCGGCGAAAAAAAAAAAAATCATTAGACAGTACCTAGTGTATTGTGTCGAGAGCCTCCCGACTCCATGAGGGTCATTAATCCCACGCTCCAATTAGTTACCAAACAGCAACTATTCTAAATCTCTTAAATATAGGCCTAAAGGAATATTTCAACGAATATTCCTTGACAGGTAAACACTCCTACGTATATACCCTCGGAGTGCAAAAACGTATTGTGATGGAAAATTATCTTAATAATATGGGGGAAATCCCTGGCAAAACCATAAGAATGATGCTTGCTGTTTTTCTGCTACAGTCTAGCATGTGTGCTGCGGTGTCGACACACCTTAACCACTACACACACACACAATAAACAAATAGCAACATTACTTAATGCTCTCAGAAAGGTAACAACGGTACATCTAGAAGAACTGCATGGAATCAAAGCTACAGATAATCAAGCTGACTGTATCAAAAGTAAAAAAAAAAAAAAATGTAAGCGTGAATATGACAAAAGCTCTTCCTTCGGTTTGGCAACTTTGTCCCCAACGCCCACCTTAGCTAAATTCAAGGTCGTCTCCTTCCCCATCCTTCCCCGCCACCTGCTTCTTCTGTATATAACACCGGATGAACCACTACTGTGTCTGAGAAATCCGTGAGCAGTGATCCCACTAAGACCGTCTCTTATCAACATGAAAGTTGTAAGTTAGACTCTCGTCAACCAGTCTGTATTGCACACTATATTCGTGGTCACATTTACAATATTGATGGATATACACATTATTGATGGATAGGTTCACAATATCGGTGGATATACTCACATTATTGGTGGATATACTCAAAATATGGGTGGACATATATCTAACATTAGTAGAAATGTTAGCGACATTTGTGGATGTATTCGCAATATATTTAAGTTATATAACCAGACATGCGGTATGTGGTCGCGATCAGTTATACTATGACAGTATCCCAGGAACCTGGCAGTGTGGTCGCGACCAGTTATACTACGACAGTATCCCAGGAACCTGGCAGTGTGGTCGCGACCAGTTATACTACGACAGTATCCCAGGAACCTGGCAGTGTTACATGCCCTTCTAAGATAATAAATACCTTGTGAAGGACTATGAGGTAATGAGTGAAAACGCTGATAAAAGAGCCCATCCACTTAGTGGCCAGATCCTGCAGTACTTAACCTGACAGAGAGAGGCACATATCAAGGCCCCGCTTGATCATTATCATATTAACTTTAGGGAACTTGTGATATGTGAAGATGGGTCTTGTAAGTTCTTAATTTGACAGTTTTACGTTTTTACGAAAATCGGAGGTTAACCCTTAAATGGTCCAAACGTATATATACGTTTTCTCAACATCTGAAAGTATGTAAAAGAGAGTAGATCTACTTTTGTAGCACTACGAATTTGAACGTCGATTTGTTTGGACCGTTTAAGGGTTTTAACAAGAGTAATAATGATAGAGTGAACCACGTACAAATATAAATTGTAATACATTAATGTGAAAGAAGGTTCCCAGCAGCTGGACTCTCAAGCCTATTAATGGAGGGGATGTGTTCAGACAGGATTTAGGGGAACACGTATGTGATCTTCACGAATTTTGCCTTAATTTTAAGAGTGTGTACGGCGCGACCAAAGCCGGATTAAGATTTTGTAGGCCCCTGGGCTACAGGTAGTGAGGCCCCTGGGCCACAGGTACTGTGAGGCCCCTGGGCTACAGGTACAGTGAGGCCCCTGGGCCACAGGTACTGTGAGGCCCCTGGGCTACAGGTACAGTGAGGCCCCTGGACTACAGGTACTGTGAGGCCCTCAGTAATATTTTCAAAGGAAGAAAAATTTACCACAACAGTCAACAGTTTATCATATACGTGATGTAATAACATACTGTAATTATAAACTTACAGCAGTAACTAACTGTGTACACTTCATTTAGTTTCTGGAGGCCCTCCAGCTGGCGGAGGACCCTGGGCTGCAGCCCCTAAAGCCCATGCTTTAAGAGGCACGTAAGTTCCCCCGGTTTCTAATAACATGTTCATTTTTCCACTATAATCTACCTCGTCCATCACAGCGCAGACCTCTACAACACAATATTTTTTTTCTCTCTCCACTCATCCTGTCAGACAATTATTGTGTTAACTTGAGTTATCTTCTTCCCCAGACACTAATAGCGGTGGCCCTGTGCCTGATGCTGGGGGTGGCCCTGGCCCTACCGGCTCCTGTGGCCTTGGCCCTGCCCGTCCCTGTGGCCCTCCCTGACGCCCTAGCTGATCCTCACCGCCACCATCATCGCCATGGCGGCTTCGGTAGATATGGTGGTTATGGAGGCTACGGCGGTTATGGAGGAGGATTAGGCGGCTTAGGAGGCTTTGGTGGTTTTGGAGGCTTAGGCGGCTTCGGAGGATTTGGTGGCGGCTTTGGTGGCGGGTTTGGAGGACTGGGAGGAGGATATGGAGGCGGCTACTGGTAACTTCGACTAATATCACACTCAAGGACATTTCTGGTGGCCTTCAACACCGCCCAGCCCACACCAGCCTACACCAGCCTACTCAATGAAAAAATTAAGAACAATAAACACCCATAATGGTAAAACATTATAGTGAAGTCTTTGTAAAGATAAATACATTAATCATTACTATTCTGGCGGATTTCAATAAAAACGTTCACACTTTTTTTTTGCATTTTTCTAAGTCCTTCCCGGTGTATTTGTTATAATTCTATATCTAGTTAAATACTGTGATTTTATCAAAGGTATATAAATCAGATATGATGACTAAGAAACGTGCAACATCTGGATATCATTACCTGAGAGACGTTTCGCCCAACACCACAGCCATAATAAGTAAGGAATCAACCTTGGTAATTCCGGCAAATTGGTTTAGAAAGACCCGTGAGCGAACACTAAGATATATTTATCAGAAAATGTTTCGGTGATCCCAGGACCGAAACGTATTCTAACAAATATGTCCTAGTGTTTGCTGACGTGTCTTAATTATAACCATCATCAGTGTAATACACACATAGGAAAGGAACTCGTAGAGTTGAAGCAGTGGGGACAAAGTTGAAGCAGTGGGGACAAAGTTGAAGCAGTGGGGACAAAGTTGTAGCAGTGGGACAAAGTTGAAGCAGTGGGGACAAAGTTGAAGCAGTGGGGACAAAGTTGAAGCAGTGGGGACAAAGTTGAAGCAGTGGGGACAAAGTTGAAGCAGTGGGGACAAAGTTGAAGCAGTGGGGACAAAGTTGAAGCAGTGGGGACAAAGTTGAAGCAGTGGGGACAAAGTTGAAGCAGTGGGGACAAAGTTGAAGCAGTGGGGACAGAAGTAATGGTGCTGTAAAAATTAGCTGTTTACTTATTTCTCACAGTATGAATATATTAATTTTCGAACAGTGGATATAATCCGATATACTCATGTAATCTTTTTGGGCCTAGTCATAGGCCCTTTGTACATCCTAGGCTTTGTGTACATCCATACGCTTTGACATCCATAGGGTCTTGTGTACATCCATAGCTCTTAGTACAAACCATAGGCTCTTGTGTACACCATATGCTCTTGTGCACATCCACGTTTGTGTACATCCATATGCTCTTGTGTACATCCATAGCTCTTTTGGACATCCATACGCTCTTATGTACATCCATAGGCTTTGTGTACATCCATACGCCTTTATGTCATCCATAGGTCTTGTACTCCATACGCTCTTGTGTACATCATATGCTCTTGTGTACATCCATACGCTCTATGTACATCCAAGGCTCTTGTGGGACAATCCATACGCTCTTTTGTACATCCATAGCTCTTGTGAAAATCCATATGCTCTTGTGTACTCCATAGGCTCTTGTGTACATCCATATGCTCTGTGTAAAATCCATATGCTCTTGTGTACATCCATAGGCTCTTGTGTACATCCATATGCTCTTGTGTACATCCACAGGCTCTTGTGTACATCCATATGCTCTTGTGTACATCCATATGCTCTTGTGTACATCCATACGCTCTTGTGTACATCCATATGCTCTTGTGTACATCCATAGGCTCTTGTGTACATCCATACGCTCTTGTGTACATCCATAGGCTCTTGTGTACATCCATACGCTTGTGTACATCCATACGCTCTTGTGTACATCCATACGCTCTTATGTACATCCATACGCTCATGTGTACATCCATACGCTCTTGTGTACATCCATAGGCTCTTGTGTACATCCATACGCTCTTATGTACATCCATAGGCTCTTGTGTACATCCATACGCTCTTGTGTACATCCATACGCTCTTGTGTACATCCATACGCTCTTGTGTACATCCATATGCTCTTGTGTACATCCATACGCTCTTGTGTATATCCATATGCTCTTGTGTACATCCATATGCTCTTGTGTACATCCATACGCTCTTGTGTACATCCATATGCTCTTGTGTACATCCATAGGCTCTTGTGTACATCCATGCGCTCTTGTGTACATCCATACGCTGATGTGTACATCCATACGCTTTTGTGTACATCCATACGCTCATGTGTACACCCATACGCTTTTGTGTACATCCATACGCTCATGTGTACACCCATACGCTCTTGTGTACATCCATACGCTCATGTGCACATTCATACGCTCATGTGTACATCCATACGCTCATGTGTACATCCATACGCTCATGTGTACATCCATACGCTCATGTGTACATCCATACGCTCTTGCTCTACCGTGTTTGTGTATCTTTATTATGCTCCCCATACCCATCTTGTGAGTGGTAATCAAAGGATTACAGAGGTACATAATGGGCCAGGACTGTACCTCAACATTACGAGGTCATAATGGTCAGGCTGTACCTCACATTACGGAGGACATATGGGTCCAGGGACTGACCTCAACATTACAGAGGTACATATGGGTCCAGGATGTACCTCAACATTACGAGGTACAAAAATGGGTCCGGGACTGTACCTCAACATTACAGGGTACATAATGGGCCAGGGACTTTACCTCAACATTACGGGGTACATTTTGAATTCAGGACTGTACTGGCTTACAGAGGTACATAATGGGTCCAGGGACTGTACCTCAACATTACAGAGGTACATAATGGGTCCAGGGACTGTACCTCAACATTACGGAGGTACTAATGGGTCCAAGGACTGTACTCAACTTACAAGGTACATAAAGAAATTTAGGACTGTATTTTGGGAAATTACAGAGGTACATAATGGTCCAGGGACTGTACCCCAACATTTAAGGTACTAATGAATTCAGGACGTACTGGAACATTACAGAGGTACATAATGGGTCCCGGGACTGTACCTCAACTTACGAGGTACAAATTTTTCCAGGACTTTTACTCAACATTTCAGAGGGTTTCAATGGGCCAGGATGACCCAACTTTCAGAGTACATTGGGTCCAGGGACTGTACCTCAACTTACAGAGTACATATGGCCCCGGACTGTACCTCAAACATTACAGAGGTACATAATGGGTCCAGGGACTGTACCTCAACATTACAGAGGTACATAATGGGTCCAGGGACTGTACCTCAACATTACAGAGGTACATAATGGGTCCAGGGACTGTACCTCAACATTAGAGGTACATAATGGGTCCAGGGACTGTACCTCAACATTACAGAGGTACATAACGGGTCCAGGGACTGTACCTCAACATTACAGAGGTACATAACGGGTCCAGGGACTGGGCCCCAAAGTTTTGATAGCTGAACTTGGTACAATGGTAATGAACTACAGGTAGATCTTGTCACAATCATGAACAAGTTACAAAGGTAATGAATCATCCACACGTAATACATGGTTACAATCATGAACAGATTACAAAGTAATAGATGAAGCCATTAACACCACACACACCCACAACACATGAGTATTAGTTCCAAAGATTAATTGAGACAGGCTGACCATGAAGAAAGGTAAGACAAGGCACACACGACACACGAATGATAAGCGACAATAAATACTGCGTGAATAGACAAGTGGCAAAGACAGGTGTTCCAGGAAGGGACACAGAATCCAGGAGGCCACAATTGGAATTAGAGACACAATGAAGTCAGAGAAGATGAGGAAAGGTATTTCTCAGGTATAGTTTAAGCAGTGGATAGCAGCGGGAATAGTCGAAGTGGATGGGCAGGAACCATACACAGTTTTAAGACGAGGTTTGATAAAGCTCATGGAGCGGGAGAGAGGCCTAGTAGCAACCGGTGAAGAGGCGGGACCAGGAGTAGGACTCGGACCCCTGCAACTACAGACTCGGAACAAAGGTAGTACACACAGCACAATCAAACACACACTCATACAAAACAACAACACAACATCAAGGTTTGTCGAAAAGTATTTGCAGACTAAGGGGATGCCTATGTAAAATGTTTATTCGAATAAGGCAACTGACGAGCACTGGAGGCAGAAGGTCAGGGAGCATTTAAGAATAAGACTATAAATATGCGCGGAAAAGACAAGCCGGGCAGATAGGATCTGACGCGGGTCAATCAGAAACAGGATGGTTCAATTGGAAGTTGAATAGTGACAAAAGGGAATCGTTAGGAAGTATTTTCAATATGATAGTCAGCCGTGGAATCAGTTAGAAAGTGACGTAAGTGAAGGTAACATTACATAGTTTAAGCACAGATGATAATGTCCTCATGGCCCGGGAGGAGGACCTAGTAGCAACTTTCAGGCTGGCCCCTCGAAGCAAGCAATGCTAGTTACAACCACAATAGGTGTACACACATGACTGCACAATATACCTAGCCACTTCGATGACAAATGCTAAAAAAAAAATCTAGGGTTTAGTTAAGCCCTGTATTGCGTAACTCAATGCTTTTAGTTAGTGTCCACATGTTAATCCTCGTCCATAAGGCAACTGAAGAAACTCTCCGCCCTAATATACACACTAGGTATGTGCCAAAACAAAAGCTCACATTAGCCAAACTTACAAAGTATCTAGTAGCCTAGCCTTAATACCTACCAACTGTAATAATTTAAAGTTAAATTAATCTAGTCATGCCCGAATGCCAGTGGCCCACCTCTGATGTCATGTGGCCTCCTTTTTAATATCGTGGATTATACAGTGCCTATGGGGAGATGGAAGGTATTCAGACTCAATTTGGGGAACTGGAACACAAATCAGGTTCCCCAGATCAAGGGCCTCTCACCAGCATCAAGGAACCTTCCCTGAGGGGAATTAGTATTTTAAAATATGTAAACCATACAATATCCAAAACCTGTAAACCCCGCATTGTAATCCTTATAGAAAATAAACTTGATTGATTGATTATTAATGAGTCAGTTAAAGAAGCAGATGGTTAATAATTCATAAACTTAATAATGTTGGAGTGGATAAAGTATGAACATTCACATAATAATATCGGTCAATATTTCCTTTATACAACCCGGTGTAATTTAGCTGTTAAATTATATAAACCAAAAAGGGTTACAAAAATCTAATGACTAGATATCAGAAAGTTATGTTTCAGATCATCAGATCAGAGGAGTCACAGGTAAGGAGCCACGAGGGGCGAGGACATGTGGGGACAGGGCGAAGAATAGATGGTGAGAGGAATGTATTGAGTCGAAGAGAGAGAAGAGTCAGGACTAGACCCAACTGCTAAGCCTGGATAAACACTGACGAAGACGATATAGAAGACAACAGGAACTCTGCAGGTGCTGACTG